ACATGGCACTGAGAGAAACACTTTTAATGGATTAAGTAGGCAGAAGGAAAAAATCCCAAATGAATTGCAGACTTGTGTCAAGAGGTAAAAAGTAGCAGGAAAGGTTACCAGTGAATATTGACCAGGTGTTGGCTCTATAAAGCAAGAACAGTGGTTTCTTAAGATAATACAGAGGCAGAGGCATAGATGTGCAAAAAAATGAGAGAAAGCAGAAAAAAGCTTTAAAAATGAAAAGAGAGCTGGTCTTGGAGGCACCCTCCTTCAATATCAACAGTAAGGAGGCAGAGGCAGGTGGATCACAGTGGGAGGCCAGCCTGTTGTTCAAAGTGAGTACCAGGCCAGCTAGGGCTATATAGTGAGACCTGACTCAAAAAAAATTGGTTTTCTAAACCAGTTATATAATAGTCTTACTCATTTCTCTTATTATTAATTCATGAGAATATTTTGTATAGTAATTTAAGTTTTGGTGAGCTTTTTAAGATTTTTCTCTTTCTTTGAAATATCCTTCTGTTCACACAACTATGTTACATATTTCTTTATTGTTACTGTTTCAGTAGGCTTTAAGGGTATTTGATTTGGAAATTAAGTCTACTTTTAGAAAAAATAAACAGTTCTCTATTTGAATTTTTCATTTTCCCCCATATCGTTAAAATTTCTTTCTGGAAACTTTATTTTCTGAGATTCTCACTCCATTCTCTATGTCCCTTGACTTCATATTTTTATTTCTTCTTGCTGTGCTGGCGGGGTTATTTTAGCGTCATCTCAGCTCATGCCAAGTCTGTCAGTCAACAAAGATGTACAAGCATCTAAGAGTTAGTTTATAAAGTTTGTTTCAAAGATAATTTATTTCTAGTTTCATTATTTTTAACAATTAAAGACCTCACATGATTTTTATATTTATTTGGGATGGAGTTTTCATCTCTCAGTTCTCCCTTGGTTCCTTTAGATATAAAGCATAAAGATGACCACATCTTCATGATGGAGAAGTCATATATACACACACACCTACATAATCTGCATGTACAACTTCTATCAGATAAATTACACCATCATGTGTTGCATCTACTTTCTAGTTATCATAGGTTTAATGTGTGGAATTACTATTGCTAACCTTGGCTGCTCACTTCTTTACTTTGCTGAGAAGTCTTAGGGCAATGAGAACAGATTCATGAGAAAGTCACCTTTTTCCAATGATTTTTTTTTCTCATACAATGGCTGCTGTGACAACCTTTCTTTTCCTGCCTGCCATTTTTGCCCTCCCTCTTTTCTTTCTTTTTTCCTCATTCCTCTCTTTCTATCTCACTTGTACTAAATATTTAGAGTCAAGAAGCACATTACATAAGAATGGTAAGTATGTTGAATGTGTGCAGGATATTTGGTAAAACATAAAATGTGACTGTATCCAGTTGGTGAAATCATGTGAACTAGTGGGTCATGGACTTCCTAGATTACATTGTCATATCTGTCATACAAGTGTATCTATTTTGTTTTTTGTTAATCTTTACTGAATCAAGCCATCAAATTTATAAGGAACAATGTTGTTGCATTTGACAATTTATAATTCAAAAACTGAAGAAAGCCGGGTGATGGTGGCACACGCCTTTAATCCCAGCACTCGGGAGGCAGAGGTAGGAGGATCTCTGTGAGTTCAAGACCAGCCTGGTCTACAGAGCTAGTTCCAGGACAGGCTCCAAAGCCACAGAGAAACCCTGTCTTGAAAAACAAAACAAAAAACAAAAAAACAAAAAACAAAAACTGAAGAAAACATAAAATCTGATCTGTCGCATCTATTAGATAAGATATTATAAAATTCCGTTTCAAATGTTGAATTATTAAAAATGAATATATGAGGACTAACACAAATGTTTACACAAATTAGCTAGGTGCCAGCAACTCTGAATAGATTATGAAATCCAAATTTCAAAAGGACACTGTAAGATAGAAATTACACAACAACCTCTTCTATATATATACATGGTCATGCTAAATTTTTTTTAACAAAAAGACAATCAAATTCAGAGACGTGTGAGAAGAAATCAAATGATGACATCACGCGTTAATCTGTATAACGCAAAGCAGTTTAGCGTGTGAAATCTGATTACCGCAACCCACCATAGCAAGAGGTCAAGGAGAAAAGCAACACAATTAATCACAATGGATACAGAAAAATTACTCAACAAAATACAGCACATATTAATGGGCAAAACGATAGCAAAAGAATACAGAAGGGAACTTTTGAGTATGTTCAAAAGTATACAGTAGCCAAACATGGTGGCACATCTTTAATTCCAGCACACAGGAGGCAGAGGCAGGCGGATCTCTGTGAGTTCCAGGCCATTCTCCATAGTGAATTCCAGAACAGCCCAAGCTACACATAATGACACCCAGTCTCATAAGATACCCAAACAAGTATATATGTGTATAATAAATATTACTAAAGACAAACTATTAAAATTTTTCTGCTGGAAATCAACAATGACACAGTGATGTCCACCCTGGCTACTAACAAGATTTTACTACCAGTTCCAGCCAGAGAAATAAGGTAAAGAAGAAGAAAAAGGCACAGCAGAAGGAATAAAATTATATTTTAAGTGATGAAATTATGTGGTTAAAATCATGAAAACTCTGCAATCAGAAGTAAACATCAGCATAAATAGTGTAAGAGGCCACACCCAAGTGGGTGGGTAACTTAAAGGCTACTGGCAGTAGGAATTCCTGCAGCACAGAAGTGATAAAGCAAGCCAGGAATGCCGGCAGATGTGAGATAAGCTCTGTTTATAAGAAGAAAAACTGAAATAGCATTTAAAATGGCTTCTAAATATATCAACACCAACAAAAGAATCTCCTAGGGAGTTATAAAGTGGGAAGATCAAAAATTATTGAGAAAAATATAAAGATCTAAATAAACTGAGGAATGCACAATAATCTATTGGAAAGACTCAGCTGCTGAAATATCGTTTATCTTTTGAAGAATCAATAAATTATAAAACTTTATGCAGAATTTCTGCAATCTTCTTTGTGTATTTGATGGCCTTTTTGTATGCAAATGCAAAGAGAAAATACTAAAAAATCTTGACCCAAAATAATGATCTGTGGAAGAAATAATTGGTGATGCACGCTTTATTAAAATTAGATTTTATGATCTGTGAAAGAGTCTACCAAAAAGTGTCAAAGATCAGGAGAAAATGCTGCCAAATGATGTAATTGATAAAAGACAGCTGTGCAAATACAGACTTTAAAGACCCAACATTAAGAAAACAAGCCTACATAATGCCAAGGATACTAACACCAAACAAAACTCTGAGATGGAATGGCTATTCTTGGTTGTCAACTTGACTACAGCTGGAATTAACTAAAACTCCAAAATGGGACACACCTGTGAAAAATTTTGCTTACTTTGAAGTGGAAAGATCCACTTCTAAGCAGATCTTCAAGGTAGGTAGACGCGCCTTTAATCCAGTTCTTTCAGTGTGAGAAGATTCATCTTTAATCTGGGCTGCACCTTCTGCTGGGAGCCTTTATAATTGTGGTTCTCAGCCTTTTGGTTGTGATCCATTGAGAAGGGTCAAATGACCCTCTCACAGGACTCCCCTAAGACTATTGGAAAACACAGATTTTTTTTTGGGCTAAGCATTTTTTTATTCAAGAATGTTTTTCTCCTGTAAGCATTCATTCCTGTAACCTAGGTTTTGAAACATTTAAAGGCTTACTTCCAGAGGTTTTCTCAATCATGATTTGGATCATGCAATAGAGAGCAAGAATGTAGACTTGAAGTTATGGATATTAATCATTCTCAATTAATGGCATCATTTGGGAAAGTTTAGAAAATATTGTCATCCTGGAAGAAATAAGTCATGATTTTTTTTTTCCTGAGAGTATACATTCACACACCATTTCAAGTTCCTACACCTGGTTCATGCTGCAGGCTGAGGATGTGAGTTCTTAGCTTCCAAATGTAGCTGTCATGTCTGACACTTCTTATTACAATTTTCAAAGTGATCATATAACGGTGTGGAACTCAGAGTCACAATAAACTATTATATTAATTGACTTAGACATTATGTTTTATCATAGACAAAAAAGAGGCATCATACACATCTATAAAATTTTACATCTGGATAAGGGATAGGGGAAGCTTGGTTAATCTATCATATTTAAGAAGTGGAACATAGTTGAGGCGTGCTCTCCTAGAACCCAGAAGAAAAACTGAGATGGACCAGGTGCTTGAGCTCTGGGTGATTTCCATGGGAAACAGAAGAACTTGGACTTTCCCTTTTTGTAGCTTGAGTTTCCCCTCATAATATGTAGAAATGTAATTGTTTATCTTAAAGCTAGCCTGGTTATTTCCCGAATCAAGCTAACTTCTCCAGATTTATTTATATAAATGAAGAAAGGTGAGAAATCAAAAAGTTACCTTATCACTAAATGCACAGGACTTTTGTCCATATAATTTTGCATCTGCAATTAACAATGGAGACTTTATAATGGTTGAACAGACTTGACACTTGTAGACTTGTTTTCTTCCCAGTCTTCTGTAAGTAAATGTGTGTTGCCTGAAGATATTTCCAAAATATTTATAGTCACATTCCCTTCAGTATGAATCTTGTCATGTCATCAGAGTACTGTGATTTGCAAAGGCCGTAATAGACTCCTTATGTACTAAAAGTTTACTCTCATATAAAGACTACCATGAAGAGGAAAACTTTACCACACTGATTGCACCTAAAGTGTTTGACAGGCTGGACTGGGGTGGCACACCCCTTTAATCCAGCACTTGGGAGACAGAGACTGACAAATCTCTGTGAGTTAAAGGCCAGCCTTGTCTATGAGTGAGTTCCAGAACAGACTCCAATGCTACAGAGAGAAACCCTACCTCGATAAACCAAAAAAAGAAAAAAAAAAAAGTTTCTTTGCAGTATGATTTTATTCTCAAGATTTTAAAGCCTGATGACACATACAAAGGCTCTACCACATTGGCTAAAATTGTAGGGTGTCTATTCAGCATGTGTTCTTGGATAGATGTGTACACTTGTATAACATGCAAAGGCTTTACTACACTGAGTACATTCATAAGGTTTCTCTCCAGTATGTGTTCTTTTATGTGTTTTTAGACTACGGAGTTGTGAAAAGGCCTTATCACATTGATTACATTCATATGGCTTCTCTCCAGTATGTGTTCTTTTGTGAAGTTTGAGAGTACTGGTATATGAAAAGGCTTTACCACATTGATTACATTCATAGGGTTTCTCTCCAGTATGTGTTATTTTGTGTCTTTGGAGTTTAGAGCGCTCTGAAAAAGCTTTATTACATTGCTTACATTCAAAGGGCTTCTCTCCAGTATGTGTTCTTTGATGTCTTTGAAGTTCACCATGATACGCAAAACCTTTATCACATTGCTTACATTTATAAGGTTTCTCTCCAGTATGTGTTCTTTGATGTATTTGGAGACTACTGTTCTGTGGAAAGGCTTTACCACATTCATTACACTGATAAGGTTTCTCTCCAGTATGTATCCTCTGATGTAATCGAACTTTACTGTTCTGTGAAAAGGCTTTACCACATTGATGACATGTGTAGGGTTTCTCTCCAGTATGTGTTCTTTGATGTATTTGGAGACTACTGTTCTGTGAAAAGGCTTTACCACATTCATTACACTGATAAGGTTTCTCTCCAGTATGTATCCTCTGATGTACTCGAACTTTACTGTTCTGTGAAAAGGCTTTACCACATTGATGACATGTGTAGGGTTTCTCTCCAGTATGTGTTCTTTGATGTATTTGGAGACTACTGTTCTGTGAAAAGGCTTTACCACATTCATTACACTGATAAGGTTTCTCTCCAGTATGTATCCTCTGATGTACTCGAACTTTACTGTTCTGTGAAAAGGCTTTACCACATTGATGACATGTGTAGGGTTTCTCTCCAGTATGTGTTCTTTGATGTATTTGGAGACTACTGTTCTGTGAAAAGGCTTTACCACATTCATTACACTGATAAGGTTTCTCTCCAGTATGTATCCTCTGATGTACTCGAACTTGACTTTTCTGTGCAAAGGCTTTACCACATTGATTACATGTGTAGGGTTTCTCTCCAGTATGTGTTCTTTTATGTATTTGGAGATTAGACTGATGTGGAAATAGTTTACCACATTCATTACATTCGTAGCGTTTCTCTTTAGTATGTGTTCTTTCATGTATTTGGAGTTTAGAGCATTTTGAAAAAGCTTTATCACATTGATTACATTCATCAGTTTTCTCTCCAGAATGTTGTCTTCTGTGAACTTGAAGACTTCTGACATATGAAAAGTCTTTACTGCATTGATTACTTTCATAGAGATTCTCTTCAGCATGTGTACTTTGAAGTAATTGGAGAGAACTGGTACCTGCAAAGGCTTCATCATATTGAATGCCATCATATGGCTTCTCTGCTGAATGAAATTTTTCAAGCCTTTGAAGATGACTGTAACATGCAAAGGCTTTATCACACTGAGGATATTCAGAGGGCTTTTGTCCAATATGGTTTCTCTCATCCCTTCCATGTTTTCTAGCACTTTGACAATACTCTTCAAAATTATGGTCTTCCCAATAGTACCCAAGAGCGGTGAGGTTCCTGTATGTCTCCAGTATCACATCTATGTAAAAACTCTGTTGGAAAGGATTCAGCAAAATCCACTCATCCTCAGTGAAGTCAATGTGAACATCCTCATAGGTCACTGAATTATACAGATCACGTCAGGCAATGAACAGGTAGGCCACCAGTTCATGAAACTTCTTCATTCCTTTAGTTTCCACAGTTACAATCCGCAAATAACTCTCCAGGGATCACCCCTGAGACATATCCCCAGGCCCCAAGAGCAGGCCAGGCCAGCAAGAAGAACAGGTAGTTGAACTCAGGCAAAACTCCAAGTCGTGGCTTCCAGGCTCACCCATGTTCTCCTCAGAGCTCCTGAAGTAGCACTCACAGCACAGAATACCAAACACAGATATTTTTATTGTTAGTCACAACAGTAGCAAGGTTATAGTTTATGAAGTAACAATGAAAATAATTTTATGGTTGGGGACACCACAGCAAGAGAAACTGTATTGAAAGGTCACAACATCAGGTAGGCAGAGAACCATTGCTTTATAAAGACATGAAAGAAGGAATCTTTTCCTCTTTTTCTGCTTGCTCTAGTCTGGCATTAGAGCCTACCTCTTTGGGATTCCAGTGTATACTGAAGACCAGCTGAGACATCCAGCCTCATAGACTGAACAACTACTGGATTCTTGGACCTTCCATTCATAGGCAGCCATTTTTGGATGAGCTGGACCATAACTCATAATTCATTCTAATGAATTCCTTTATATACATATATGTATATATATTTACTATAATAAATATTCTTTCTATGCATTATATATATATATATCATCTATATCTATACTCTAGAGAATCCTAATACAGATGATGAATAACCACATGGGAAGAGGCTCCATGTCAACAAGTTAAAAAAATGAAACACCACTACCCAACCATAAGGCAGAATGACTAATCTCTGGGACATTGACACTACCACTCCTGAGAGGACATGACACACCAAGAACCTCATTTATGTGTTATGGGAATGAAAATGATATAGTCATTTTAGAAGATTGTTTGGCAGTAAAACCAAGCACACTCTTACTATATGAGACAGCAATCATGTTTCTTAGTATTTAAGTTAATTGAAACTATGTTCACACAAAAAACTGAAACAGGGGCATTACTGGAGCCTTTTACATCACTTGTCAAACTCTAACAGTTACCAAGATCCTTCCATAAGTGAAACTGAGATAGCCTAATGCAATCACAAAATGGAATATTATTCAATGCCAAGTGAAATGAGCTGCCAAGTCATGAAGAGGCATTGAGAAAAAACATGTTTATCACTGAAGTAAGCTGAAAAACTCTGAACTGTATGAAATATCAAAAAGTTCAAAGGATACAGGCAGTATAAAAGACCAATGATTTTCAGAGATTCAGAAAATGGAGATATAGATTAAATAAGTAGATTTTGAAGATTTGGTGTCAGAGAAATGGCTTCGTGTTACTCAAAAATAGATGCATGTTGCATGTCATGATAAATTGTGTGTGTGTGTGTGTGTGTGTGTATAGTATGTAGAGGAGATCCCAGTTAAATTGATGGACTCATGGAAAAATATACATTAATATTGAAGCTCAGTCAGTTATAAAAAATGTACCGCTCTAGATTGAACTATAATGAGGAGGGTTGTGCCCAGTTGTGGAGGTTCTCTGTGCCTTTTAATATTTTTTCTGTTGGTTTAACATTCATTAAAAGTCATTTATTTCTGAAGGAAACTTATCTTTAAGATAATAATACCTATTGTGGAGTTATAAGAAGTAAGAGAGAATAGCATTACTGTTTGATATTCGAGGCAAATGGAATCTTTGAGCTGATTCATGATCACCTGACTTAGGACATTGTGACAACTCAGAAACAATGGGCAATGGGTCATCTTTTCAGTACAGAATGCAAAAGATTTGGGAAAATATGGACCCTAATTTTATGCACTTGAAAGAGTTTATGTTGATTATAGCTTTAAATATGAAAACAAAAACCAATCATCCAAAATACATAAGAATTCTTATGACCTTGGAGATAGAAAGATTTAAACAGTAGAATAGTGCTACCCAGACATGGAAAATATTGACAGATAAGGTTAAGTTAAAATTAGTATTTTTTTGTTTCTCAAAGAAGGCATAGAAAAAATTATTTGCAATATGCATATATACAAAACAGGTTTATACTAAGAATATAGATTCTTCTGCAGACCAAAAAGCCATCAGACCAATGGCTCAGATAGGAAATATATAAAAGACCTCATCATGAGAATGCATATGAATGGTCAATAAACATGTGAAAGTTTGTAACATTTCATTGATATCCAGGGAAATGCTAATTAAATGTACACTATGACATTCCTACTCACTAGGGTGGTTAAAACCGGGAAAGACAGCATCAAATGTTGACAAGATTATGGAGCAACTGGAAATCCCATGTGTTGCTGGAATTACTTTTTCACATTGCTGGAAATGGAACCCAATCCACTGAGTGCACTAGGCAAGCATTCTACTATTGAGCTATTTCGAGCATTTAAAGGAATGTCTTTGAGACAGTGACTGGCTATGTATCCCACTCTTGCCTTGAATTTGTGATACCTCTTTGCGTGTCTTCTCAGAGATAGGACTAAAGGGATGAGCCATCAACTCAGCACAAGTGCTTTTGAAAACCATTTCACAGCATTTGTCAAGGCCAAATATATTTTCACACTTGGATGTATAGCACATCATTCTGATACATATAACTTATGCATATTTTATACATTGGACATGTGAAGGATTGACCACAAGAGTAATATCCAAGATGCCAACCTAGGCTTGATGTGATGCACGCCTATAATCTCAGGACTCGGAAGGCAGAGGCAGGCAGATCTCTCTGAGTCTGAGGTCAACATGGTCTGAAAAGTGAGCCAGGACAGCCAGAGCTGTTACACAGAGAAACCCTGCCTTTAAAGAGCAAGCCAAAACAAACCAAAACAAACAAGTAAAACAAAAAAACCAAGCAACTAAAAACTGAAACCTGGAAATCGGCAATGTTCCTTTTGTGCTGTGTGTGCGTGCAAATGATGCAGACATATGGAGGAATGGTACAAACGATGACAGCAGAATACCATAGAGGAGCATGCCAAAGAAGATGCAAGCGAAGAGCAATCTTACAGCAGAGGAGTACTCTACCGGCACTACTTTAAAAGTCCTAAGAGAAGCAAAAATATCATATGGTAATAAAACGGCAGGGGGAGCTTTTTTCTCTTTCGGTGCGAGCTACTTGTCTAGATTCTGCTTATTAGACCGTATTATCTTGGTGACCATTTGTTGTGCTATATACTCAAGACTGGTGCCCTTTTTATGTATATTTCAGTGGAAAGTAATTGGGGGAATATTCAAATATTTTGTAGGTATCCATTACATTGAATTTATGTATTCAAAACGTCTTTCATACATATCTATTGCTATTTAGTTCATTTAAAAAGTTACATTCATTGAAAGTTAATTCATCGAATGTGTCGGAACTTATGGTTGATAAGATTTGAGCACTCAATGGAAGGATAGTTCTGCATCTTAAAGGGTATTTAAACACAACAGGGTTGGACTGAGAACAAAAACGAGTGTACCCAATTGCAACACTAGAAAAGTACGCACGATGGCGCTGCAGACTAACAGTTTGTATTACGAGGCGCTCTAAGGATGAGCAGGAAGTCCTTCCCAGTAATCAGAATGCGGACTGTTCCCGGAGAGAAGGGGGCATTTACATAAGATCTAGGATAATGGACTCCTGTAAGCAATTCGGGAAGATTTAAGTCGAGGTTATTTCATCAAACATTATCTGTGTGGATTGAAACAGCCAAGATTTGGAAGCAACAGCGCCTTAGAAACTGCATCTGAACGATGGAGACAGCTCTAGCAAAAACGCCAGAGAAAAGGCAAGTCGTTTTTCTTACTATATTGTTGCTTTTATGGGAGGCTGGCTCTGAGGCAATTAGATATTCTATGCCAGAAGAAACAGAGACTGGATACTTGGTGGCTAATCTGGCAAAAGATCTGGGGCTTAGGGTGGGTGAACTGGCCACTAGAGGGGCGCGAATCCATCATAGAGGAAACAAAGAGCTCTTGCAGCTGGATGCAGAGACAGGGAATTTACTCCTGAAGGAAAAACCAGATCGGGAGAAGCTGTGTGGGGCGACAGAACCCTGTGTGCTGCACTTCCAGCTCATACTGGAAAACCCTGTGCAGTTCTTCCAAACTGACCTGCAGCTCACAGACATAAACGACCATTCTCCAGAGTTCCCACAAAGAGAAATGCTCCTAAAAATACAAGAAAAAGACCAGCCAGGGACTGTGTTTCATCTGAAGGCAGCTCAGGACCCTGACATAGGCAGCAATGCTGTTCAGAACTACACAGTCAGCCCAAACCTCCACTTCCATGTCGTTACTCACAGTCGTGCTGATGGCAGGAAATACCCAGAACTGGTGCTGGACAGAGCCCTGGACAGGGAGGAGCAGCCTGAGCTCACTTTAACCCTCACTGCTGTAGATGGAGGGTCTCCACACAGGTCTGGGACCACCACAGTTCGCATTGAAGTCGTGGACATCAATGATAACGCTCCCCAGTTTGTACAGTCGCTCTATGAGGTTCAAGTCCCTGAGAACAGCCCCCTTAATGCCTTAGTTTTGACGGTGTCTGCCAGGGATTTAGATGCTGGGATATATGGAAAGGTAGTCTACTCTCTGTTTCAAGGTGGTGAAGTTTCTCAACCATTTGTAATAGACCAAGTTACAGGAGAAATTCGCCTTAAAGAGGCATTAGATTTTGAGGCAACAACGTATTATACCATGGAAATTGTAGCGGCAGACAGTGGAGGTCTTTCAGGGAAATGCAGTGTAGCTATACAGGTGCTGGATGTGAATGACAACGTCCCTAAACTCACAGTATCTTCGCTCACTAGTTCAATCCCAGAAAATGTTCCTGAAGCTGTAGTTGCTGTTTTCAGTGTTTCTGACCCAGATTCTGGGGACAATGGAAGGATGGTGTGTTCTATTCAGAACGATATTCCATTTCTCTTAAAACCCACATTCGAGAACTATTACACTTTAGTGACAGAGGGGCCACTGGACAGAGAGA